AACAAGTGATTGCAAAGACCATGGCCTGTATCAGACGCATCTTAGTCTCCAGAGAGACACCATTGCTCTTCAGTACTTTGGATATTGAGCCTCAAATCAAAGAAGACTACTCACTGCTTGAATAAACAGATTTAATGTGTAAAACATGCAAAATAGGCTAAATGTTATTTAGGACTATATGCATATATAATAAAATGTAAAAAAAACCCCCAAACCCAAGGAATGATAAATACATTTGTAACAGTGGGGCCTTAGAGAGAGGGCTTCAAAGAATGAATTATTTTCTATTTTTTCTGATCACACAAGTGTTCATTTTATTCTTTCTGCTTGATGACATATGTGTCACAAATGTTCTTTTGTTTTCATTCCATGTTTATTGAATACAGTTTTGAAGTAGCATTTTGTAAAACGTTATATTTGATATGGTTCCATTAAAAACATAAACAGATAATATATTGAAGAAAGGTCAGGAGACAGGAGTTCTGAGGTGCTAACTGATTATTTCTGGGTAGTGGAATAATAAGTAATTCCTTTTTCCTCAATATATATTACAGTCTTATGAAAGACCATGACCAAAGGGGGGGAAAAAATCAATCCATTTAAGACCTAATCTGGGAAAGTCAGTCTAAGTCAAGTTTCTTCATTTGCTCATTCATTAATTTACATGTTTGGAAAAGTAGAAGGTCATCCAAACAAATGAAGATCCTTAAGGAGATAGGTTGACAAAGTGACTGTGGCAATGGGCTCCACTATGTCAGAAATCATGAAGATGGCACAAGGAAGGACAGGGCTCAGATCTGTTGTTCACAGGGTTGCTGAGTCATGCTCAGCTTGATGACACCTAACAACACTAGTTGTTTCATAGGACGTGCTGTTGGCTTAGTGGGAAGGAGCTGTGCCCAGACTCCAAGATGTTGTTCAAATCCACCACCTGCTTCATGGGAGAAAGAAAGATGGGCCATGTGATTTACAGCCTCTGAAAACCCACTGGAGGGTCAGCTATGGATTGGTTCTAACTCAACCAAGCATAACAGGAAAACCTCTTACTTAAGAGTTCCTGTGTGGACAAATGGTGAAGCACTCGATTACCAGCTGAAAAACTGATGGTTCAAATGTACTCACAGGAGTTTCCGAGAAGTCACATAGCCTTGACAACACTATGGAACAGTTCTACTCTACATACACAGTGTTGTCAGGAGTGGGAATGAGACGTTGTCACATGCCCAGTCTAATGTTAACTTGGAAGCAGATAGATACAGTGTAGAGATTCATCTATAAAATGGAATTAATCATCACCACTCATATCAGATCACTGTTAGGTTAAAATGATGACGTCTTGGGCATACTTGACAACTTGTGGAGATGGAGTGAGCAAAACAGTATGCCGGGCAGGGCGGAAATAGTCAGCAGTCCTGGGCCACCACATAGTTCCATGATCCTCCCCGGCTCCGCATGGGCCCAATCACTCACCAGTGGTGGCAGTGGTGGTGGGCTCTTGTTCAGGGTGCTGTTCTTCGTGGGGCTCCATCGGCCCTTAGCCTTCTCCTTGACCTGCTTTTTGCTGCTCACCAATCCCATCCTGTTGGAGAACAAACAGCAGATTGATATGTGAAACAAGTAGGTTTGCAAATCTTCTCTGTGATCAGAAGCATTGTGTAGAAGTAGGAGGACTGAAGGCCTGAAAGTCAGAACATAAAGTTGGACTGACTTAGACAATCAACCATGTACTTATCTTTTTTCCAGAGCAAAGTGCCATGCCCCAGCAAAGAGAAAAGATTGAATTTAACACAAAGGAACCATCTGACCTGAGACAGGTGTCAGAAAATGACAAACTAAAGCTGTTAATAATCTCAATCTCTGTATCACTAAACTCAAGAGACAGTTGCCACAGCATAAGAAATTGTCAGCAGCTGAAGTATTTGGAATCACAGAAGTCCATAAAGCGTGAGATATAAACTATCAAATCAAGGGCTGGAAATGGGAGATAGGTGTTGAAGGGAGTGGGTGGGAGTGGATGGGGATGCTGGTGGATGGTGGAGCAGGGAAATAAGTGGGTCAAGACCCTTGTGTCAAGGGCAGGGATAACACTGAAACTTATGGTTAATTCCACAATTGGGGGAAATATCTTTCATCTGCTTTTTCTGTAAAATGCTTGTCTGTCAGATACTTCTCTAAATCTGAGCATTCAGATTAAGACAGACTAGGAAGAAGAACTGGCCATCCACTTCTGAAATAGTAGGCCTCTGAAAACCCTGTGTACAAAAAGGCTTACTGTAGCTTCCCAATAATTATCAGGGATTCTTCCTTAGAAGTGAAACAACATACAGTAAAGATTTCTCTTGAGTGAAGAATCTTAGAACAATACATATAAGAAAGACTTAGAGACCATCACCACATCTTCATCACTACCCTCCTCCTTAGAGTTATTATTTAGGAGATACTTACTCTTTGGTAGATAGTTTACAAACAGTAATTCATACCATCTTTTCAATGTTAGAATTAAGTATTGTTGGTGGTTGACTCAAGATGGTTCTCATTCACAGAGATTCTATGTACAATAGAACAAAATATAGTCCACCCCACACTATCCACAGTCATTGCTATGCTTGAGCCCACACTTTTTCCTAGACTTTCCATACTTTACTAAGCATGATGTCTTTCTCTAGGGACTGGGCCTCTTGATAACCTCCCCACAGTATGTGAGACAAAGCTCCACTATTCTCACTTACAAGGAGCACTCTGGTTGTTTACCTCCAAAGACAGAATTGTTCATTGTCCTGGCAGTTCATGGTATATTCAATATATTCAATATTCCTCACCAATGCCATTCATCACAATTCATCAGTTTTTCTTTAGTTTCCTTACTCATTATCCAACTTTCACAGGCACATGAGGAGAAGTGAAAATATCATGGTTTGGGGCAGGCACATCTTAGCCCTCTTGAAGTGATTAATAAATATCTTTACTTTTTAACTTTAAAGAGGTCTTTGCCCAATGCAATATGCCATTTGCTTTTTTGATTGCTGCTTTCATGGGTGTTGATGGTGGATCCAAGCAAAATGAAATCTTCAACAACTTCAATCTTTTCTCCATTTATTATGAGGTTGCTTTTGCTTCAGTTGTAAGGATTCTTGTTTCCTTTCTGTTGAGTTATAATCCATATTGAAAGCTGTAGTCTGATTTAATCAGTAAGTGCTACAAGTCTTCTTCACTTTCAGCAAGTTAGGTTGTGTTATCTGTATATGGAAGGTTGCTAGTGAGTCTTCCACCATTCCTAATGCTGTATTCTTCTTCACATTGTCTGGTTTCTTTAATTATTTGCTCACCACACAGATTAAATAAGTACAGTGAAATGTATAACCTAGATACGTACCTTTCTTGATTTTAAACCTTGTTATTTCCTTACTCTGTTGGACTGGTCATGTGGTCTATTCCACATGAGCTCAATTAAGTGTTCTGAAATTACTTTTCTTAAAAATAGTCTTCATAATTTTTTTTATGATCCATAAAGTTGAATGCCTTCACATGGTCATGAAAACATAAATGAAAATCCTTCTGGTAGTTCTTAATTCCAGACAAATCCACTTGACATCAGCAATGATATCCCTGTTCCATGTCTTCTGAATCTGGTTTGAATTTCTGCCAGTTCCTCATTAATGTATGACTACAACTGTTTTTTTAAAAATTATCTTCAGTATAATTACACTTGTGTTTGACATTAATGATATTGTTTGACAGTTCTCATATTCTGTTGGATCAACTTCTCTTGGGAAGGACATACATATGAATTTCTTCTAGTCAACTGGCCCGATAGCTAGCTTCCAAATTTTTTTGGCATAGATGAGTGACTGCTTCCAGTGTTGGATCTACTTATTGAAACATATTGATTGGTGCTCTGTCAATTCCTTGTGTTTTTCAGCAATGCCTCCAATGTCAAATTTGGGCTTCTTCCTTCAATTCTTTTGGTTCTTGATCATATGCTGCTTCCTGAAATGACTGGGTATCAAACAATTGTTTTTGGTACAGTGCCTCTGTGTATTTTTTCATATCTTCTTTTGATAGTTCCTGTGTTATTAAATATTTTGCATATAGAATTCTTCACTAATGCAACTCGAGGCCTTAATTTCAGCTTGAGAAATACTGAATGTGAATTCCCTTTGGATTTTTTTAATTTCAAGTCTTTGCAGATTATAATATTTTGTCCTCTTGAGCTGCCCCTAGAAATCTTCTGTTCAGTTCTTTTATGTCATCATTTCTTCCTTTAACCGTATCTATTTTCTCAAGAGTACATTTCAGGGGCTCTTCTGACATCCATTTTGGTCTTCTCTTACTTCCCTGTGTTTTTAATGATCTTTTCCCCCATGTTATTCACGTCATTGGGTCATCTCATCTTGTCTTTGATCAATAATGTTCAATATGTCAAATTTAAATTTAGTTAAGATACAGTCAAGGTTGTACTTCGGCTCTTGTGTCTTTATTTTCTTCAAGTTGATTTGAACTTGTCTAGGAGTAATTTGTGGTCTGTTCTGCATTTAGCCCCTGACCTTATTCTTACTGATGATATTGAATTTCTTCACAATCTCTTTCAACAGATCAGTCAATATGATTACTGTTCATTTCATCTGATGTATTCTGTTTAGTCCATGTATATAGTCACCATCTATGTTGAAAGCATTGTATTTCCAATAAATAAATCACTGGTTTAGCAAAATTATATTGTGGAATCTATTTGTCTTGTCTATCACCAAGGACCTATATTCCAACTATTAGATAATGTTACACTGTTGTTAAAAATTATAATGTCTTAAATTGACTTTTAAAAATAAACACATAAAAAAATTTCCAGATCCTTCTTCCTAGGTTCTTCTAGTCTGGAAGCTCCACCAAAATATGTCCTCTACAGGTGGCCCTGCTGATACTTGAAATACTAGCTTTCAGCATCACAGCAGCACAAAAGCAACCACAGTATGACAAACTGAGATGATGATAGAAAAGAAATGTAGGTAGGTATTATTATTGTTTTAATACTGATATTTAAAACATTAAACAACTCGTTCATGGCCAAACAATAGATGAGAGGCCCAAGGTCTCCTTAGTCTGGTCATAGGGCTTTCACACTCCACTTCCTCACAGCTGGTCCAGTCTCAAGTTTGAACAATTTCTAAAGAAAGAAGAAAGAGCCTGAATCATCATCCTCGTATGGAAGGTCCAGATGGAAGTTAATGGTGAATTTTTTTATGGGTGCATGTATCATATTTCTTTGAGTCTAAGGTACATTTGTTTAAATATTTTAACATCTCTGAAATTTGGATGTCTTAAAATTGGTGGTGATTCACAGTATTACTGGCTGTCTCCTTCCTCTCTTAATGACACATGATAAGCCTGTAAACCATACTGTAAGTGACATCTGAGACCTAGTGAAATGCAATAGTGCATTTCATCCACAGAGTTTAAAGCATATATTTCATTAACAAGTCTCCTCAAACTCATCTTAAAAGAAAGAAAAGGTTTATAATAGTTTTGAATATAGGACAGAGAACCATAGTAACAATAGCTCACAAGTATCTTGTATGTGTTGTACATAGAATATGTAATACTTTAAAATTTGTTAAAAGAGGTACTTGACAGCACCCAATTTAAAAGGTCAGCTTTGAGAACTATGCTATAAAGAAATAGTTGTATGGGATCGAATTGTCAATAGCAAGTTAAAAGCTTAGATAGGAACCATAGGAGTCAGTGAGTTTATCTTAAGGAAGGTGGGGGGAGGGGAAAGGAGATTGAGAATGATATTACAAAGAAAGAAAGGATTTAATCAATGTCACTAAGTTGTTGTCATTGTAATGTGTTGTTGACTTGACTTACGACTCATAGGGACTCTATGCATGATAGCTCTGAACCTTGTTCTATCCTGAGCCAATCTCACTTTCTCGGACACATTTACCCTCATAACTCCAGTTACTGTGTCAGTCCATTTAATCCGGGGTCTTCCTCTTCTGTGCTGTCCCTCGATCCTTTCAACCATGATATCCTTCTCCAGAAACTGGTCCCTCCTGGCTAAGTGTTCAATATATGTAAGACAGAGTCTCAAAATCCTTGCCTCCAAGAAGCAGCTTGGTCTCACTTTCTCCAGGGCAAACCTATTAGTTCTGTTGACAGTCCATGGTATGTTCAACACTCTTCTCCAGCACCACAACTCAAAGGCATTGATTCTTCTTCTCTCATCCTTATTTATTATCCAGCTCTCTGATGCATAGCAAGTAATTGTGAAAACCAAGGCCTAGATCAGGCATACCTTAGTCTCTAGACTGACGTCCTTGCTTTTCAGTACACTGGAGAAGTCCCTGACCACAGATTTTCCTAATGCAATTAGTCTTTTAATTTCTTGACTGTTAGTGCCAAGAGTGTTGATTGCGGAAATGAGCAAATTGAAATTGTTAACTATCTCTATCTCTTCTCCATCTATCATGATGCTGCCAATTGACCCAGTGGTGAGAAACTTCATTTTCTAGATGTTGAGTTTCAATCTGTATTGCAGACTACAGTCCTTGGCCCTCTGCAGCAAGTGCTTCAGGCCCTCT